GCAGCACTACAGACTACAGTAGCGAAAGCACGCGGAACTGTGTCGACGTTTTCGACGTTATGGAAACCGCAGGAACTGCGTCCAAGACAGGCAGGTTTTGCTGCCGGCTGCCTGGGTGCCTTCCCCCCTGAGTTTGGTTCTGTTTTCCGATGCCGAGTGCAACCGGCGTTCAACGTGGTTTTGTGTTTGTGCGTGTCAGCAACATAGCTGCAACATCGTGATGACAGTGTCGGGTTGTGAACAGAAGACTGGAATTATCGCCGATGTGACCATGTGTTCGCGTATCAGTGGTGTAACAAGAAGATAAGATCGTAAACTGTTGGGCATTGATGCCGCTGGTGGGGTTGTGATCGGAGGGGGCGGGGTGTCGCAGGTTGACATTCCGCTTTACATTAAAAAGTTTAATACCACTTGAGGGATTACGTGCAATCGATCAACGTGCGGATAGTCATGGTCTGAACAGTAGAAGCTCCTATCGTACAGTGGTCAATGTGACTGTCGGAATTGTCTCGTCCCCGACAGCGATTGTGCTCAAGGGCAAGGACTGAACAGTACGAAATCGTGACGTAAAGTACGTATATTTACAGTATGGAATTTCGGCATTAAAAACAATAGTAGGTAAAATCGAAAAAAAAGCTACCCTTTATTTTGCTGTTTAATTATACGGTTGCTGGAGAAACTGCCCTCCGTGGTGCGCTGGGATGAGCGCTAGAAGTTTTCGGGCTCGCCACGGCGTAGTTCCGTACACTTAAACCTGCCGCAAGTCGCGGCTTTGACTACATTCAAGTTGATGGAAAAGCAATTTCTCAGTACGTGAAGCATCACTTCCAGCTACTGAATATCCGCTCTACAGAGATTAATTCAAACGGCAATTGCAGCTCTGCGCGAACAGCACAAATAGAAAAACAAATAGAAATACAAGCTACGACGTGCCGTGTGGGGAAACAAACTCATGGCTTCGAACCGCATTGGAGCGGCTTGATTTATTGGCTTTCAAATAATTACGGCATAATTGAGCGTTTACTTTTTAATAAGAGATTCAACCCCTGAGCCATTCAAAATACTCTCAGAGGTATGACATTGCAGGGAAAACTTCAACATGCTGGGAATATTTTTTATTGCTTAGGGAGTCACCGAAAAGTTCCGCACGTTCAAAACGACCAGTATAAAAGACGGAAACGCAGAGCACGGGTGTAGTGTTCGGGTTAGTGTGGTGTTCCGTTGTATTGATATTTGTGTGAGCAGTGCATGTGCTTGATGTATGTTCCCCTAATGCTTGTAATAATGTGTATGGGTTGCATGTGTGTATAGTAGAGGGTCCTCAGGCGCAGTAGTGGCCTGAAAGAAGCAAATTATTTTTTGTAGAACATGACTTGGGCGGTACCTAGCGCCACCTAGCCTAGCTACTGGCAATTACTCTGCTTGACCCCGCCATCTGGTGGCTAGCGATTTAACCTTCTTTCACGCTACGCGATAAACAGCGGCTTCGAGTTCGTTCTTTCGAGAGCGGCTTTTAGTTTCGCGGAGTGAGTTTGCTCTTCTCCGTGATGTGCGGTTGACGAAGGAATTGTGATTCGAGGAACACCAAAGGTAAGACGCAAAGTGCGCGAAGTAACTGGGTATCGGTTGTCTCCGTTTAACATCGCAGTGCTGTTGACGAGAAGACTGAGTAACTGCTTTCGAAACGCAGGTTTCTGTACCTGTGGGGGGAATCTAGCTTCGGAAATAAACACAGTTTGCGGAAAGCTCGTGTTACGCTTTCATTTGCTGCTGCTCTCGTCCCGTACAAGAGACGTAGCGTCCTCATTAAGCCTTATTGGGCTCGATTTGCTCGATTCGGGGCCGCCATATTGAGATGCAAGCGACGGAGGAACTTTGCTCCCCTGCTTCAGGGGCGAAGGTTTCTCCCTTTCTAAAGGAACATAGGTTACAAGACCGTTCCTCCCGTAAGGGAGGACTATCCGTACCCTTTTTTCTAAGAGTGCAGGTCCTATGTTCCTACTTCTTTATGCATATAAAGGCGTCGGCAGAGATGTGGGCTCATCGGGACCGTCAACTGGGACCACCGACGTCCGCTTCTATGCCCCGCCGTTCCGAAGCTGCGAAATGCATGGTATTTTTCTCTCTAGATAATTATACTAACCCTATGATCTCAACAAAAAAGATTTGTACCCCAACTAAAGGTTCGTGGACTGAACTTCGTTTCAGGTAAAACAACTTTTTTGCGACTGACTTGGACAAAATTAATTATGAAATGTTGTTATTCAAAGACGGCTCTATGGCTCTATGTCACTACTGCCAGCATGGCGCCAAGGCACTGACAGCAGGCGACAATGTTGACTTCCATTTCGAGTCAAATCGGAAGTAACGTCATGTGCAAAAAATCCCTGCTTGTTTTTACTTAAAACAATCAAAATATAGAACAATTTGCAAACACGGGTTGATTTAGTTTTACCCTAACTATTAGTTGCACCACAAGCAACAAGAAGTGTTTGCTCAGCGCTAATGTTTTAGGTTTTTTTTTTTTAATTTCGCTTACCAATATTTTGCTTGTCAGCCTCATTGCTGCTGGAAGCATGCCGCGCTGTGTTAGGAAAACACTATTCTGTGAGCCTGTGGTGCGAGTATCGCTCCGCGAGCGTCTTCCTGGTTTTTAGGGGCCTTCTAACTTTGTAGCCCCATATTCTAAAACTCAGTATTGATTGTCAAAAACAGACATCAAATGCTCAAGCAGTGCTCATGTTCGCTGCATGGGCCGCATTTAAATCTCGTCGCCGCTGGTATCTCAGAACGCGATGAGAAAATTCAGGGAATCGCATTATTACAACGACAAGAATGCGATCGCAAAAACTTCGTCATCAAGTTTTGCGAAGGTGTGACTAAAAGAAACGTCCACTTTATCTTTGAACTTACGCGGCGACAAAGACGGTTCTTGGTCAGTCGCTTTGCTTGAAAGTATACACCAACTCAACTCTGTTACGTACGAGATGGCCATTTCTGTGTTGTTTTGGAAGACACCAGACTAAAACCTGCCTTCTCGTCAGAACGCCGCTACTAAAGCTCCACCAAAAGAGCCGGAAAAGATGTCAAGATCAGTTTTCACTTGTTTTCTGTTCAGTTCCACCAAGAACGTGGAGAAGTGCCGTGAAAAGGAAAAACCAGACGAAGTTGTACCATGAATGCTTGTGCGGAAAACATTTAGGGTTACACTCAAGGAGACTTCACGTCATTAGATTTATTTGCTTCGTTCTAACATGAACGGTGGAAAACCGTCAAGTTGTCCAGACCACTGGAAGACCACGTTCAGTGCGTCTTCGCGTTCAAACGACCGTGTTATCGTTCAAACTGTCATTTTCTCTTTCAACGTCGTCTGCTTTTTCAAACTGTTGTCTGCACGTTCAAAGAACAATGGCCCGTAGACCCCACGTTGACGCGGCAATTGCGGTAAGAGGTGCAGGCCTCTAAATACCTCAATTTGAAGTATGTTTAGGGTAAGTAGGATCGATGCAAATAGCGGATGCAAGAGTATGTTTATTATTGTTACCAGTGGCCACCATCACCTTGTAATGCCTGATTCACATGGTCCTATTCTGCTTGTGATTTTCAGTATCGACGTCGAGCAGCGCAACTGCCCTCTGCGCTACTTTTGTAGACTGAGTGACATCGCGATGAAAATAGCTAGCAGAACCTCATCACGCGAATCAGGCCTCAACATCCCTTCTGCCAAGTCCACGCGGAATGAATCGCCACACGTCACATTATTCATGCAAAGTTTTGCCGTGTTTCGATGAGGCCACTAAAGTAGTCGGACGTTGCTATAGGAAAACGTAAAACCAAGACTTCCAACGCGAGAACGAGCACGGGGACTCACAGCAACGCCGACAACATCGCATTCGAATGGTTTGTTGGTGGGAGACGGCGCGCTTCTTTCCCACACCCCATCGGGCATGCGCGCCACTGGCGGCGTGCCGCTAGGAGCGCTCCGGTTTGTTTGGGAACATGAGTTGGTGTATACCTGGGTCCATTAGCACCAGTGAGCGTGCCTAAAGTGTGAAACACTCCTACCGAGTTTTGTTGTACGGCTTCTTTAAAGTTGATGTATCAAACGAGTGCTATGGCGTTATTTGTAGAAACCAAGACAGTTTTCAGATGTTCAAGCTTCATTTTACTGATGACGGCCTTGTTTTAGTTGCGGTTAAACATTTAATGCACCGTTAACAAATTTGAGTAAAACATAAAATAGCGCGAAAAAGACAGAAACAAGAAGTATACAAAAAAAAAAAAATAGCGCCTCTCCTGTATACTTCTTGTCCTTGTCTTTTTTGCGCTATTTTATATGTTTTACTAAGATGAACCAACTAGCCCAACAACGTACCCTAATAACAAATTTGAGTTTCGACGAAGAGCAGTTCTATCTAATATACTTGTTTATCCAGGATACTTACGGAGAGACTGCAGCACAACAAAGATTAAGTCAGAAAGAGCTTCCAGTGAGGAAAATGGAGAAATTTAGCTGGGCATACCAACTCTAGCAATCAATATTCTGCCATGCTATTACAGGCAAAAGACTCATAGTTTTAGAGCCTACTTTTTTCATATAAATAACCATCCATCAAAGTTTTTATTTTCCTGAAACAACAAGATTGCAAACTCAAGAAGTAAATTAACAAAAGAAAAACAAAGAATCATTCAAAATAGGGGATTTCCCACGTGTCCAGTTGAGCCCGTGAAAACCTCCTGAGAGCAGCAAAGGCATGGTATTTTAACCAGCTCTTTAGTTTATCTAATAAAAAAAAACTGATTACTCTCAAGTATTAAGGACATAATTATAACAAACACAATGCATTTTTATGAATTGGCTTTTGGCGGATATGACATCAACAAATTTTATTACTGCGATGCGTACTTTTCGCAGTAGACCTGTGTTCTGTGAAACACTCTGCATGTTCGTAGAATATGGCTTGATATTAATTTAGTTTTCTTTTATTTAAAGTGGCATGTTAAGTGGGGCGCGTATTCAAATCACGTGGATGGCTTGTGTTGTAAGACTTCACCGCAATTAACATAGAGACGTTCACGGTCCTGTTTGGAGAGAGATGATCATGCGTATCGCATTTGTTTCTGAAGCATATCTGCGGGAAGAAAATTATATTAAATATGAGTTGCATATTTTGCAGGGAGTATTGATTTATCCACCCGCCTGAGCCAAGCGCGTTGCGACTGAGTGCGAAGAGAACTGAAGAATATAAATGAATCAATGAGCTGTCATCGTTCAAAGTTCAATTGATTTCAAATACATTAATATACCTCGCTTTTTGTTCGAGATTTATCGTTTGAACTTTAGTGGATGAACGTTTAGTAAAATGAATATACTCTTAATAGGCAATACGAAAAAAAACAAAACAACAACACATTTTTGTGTTGTTTTCGATTTGTAAGCCTTCGGTAAAAAATTTTATGTTCTACTGATAAGAATTTTATTGAGCATTTTATTGTTAAGAGTGATAATATGAACCGTAATATAATTGTATTTACTGCCTAAGTCGGTTCGGGAGGCTACGCGTAAATGTTATGGTTCCTAATATTATCGTTTTATCTTTATTTATTCAACATATAATTTTGTCTTGTTTCTCGCTCACCGGGAGGTGAGACTAAAGGCGAATGTCTGACGAGGTTTTTGCCCCCCTTAAAAAAATTATAGGCTGAATATCTTGTAAGAAAGCGGGGGTAAGTGCTGTAATTTTTAATTAAAGAGTGTTGAATGTGTGATTTCGTCTACACAAGGTTAGAAGTCAACTTGCAGGTAAAATTGCGTTTTACATGAAAATAAAAGAAGCCTACGTGTAACGTGTTCGCTGGCGAAAGTTACAATTGCATAACTGTGACACCCCTGAGATTTGTTTTTGGCCAGTAGAAACAAACACACAAACTACTGCTACACGGGAAACTAACAACTCTTGAAGAGAGCTTGTTGATGTCTTGTGACATCATTCAAACGGATGAGTGCGAGAGGGCAAAAGAAACAAACAAAATAGGTAAAAAAGTTTCCGTCACAAAGGAGGACAAAGGGAGTGACTGGAGGAAAGGGGAATGCCTATGGCACATATTGGTGAAGTATTTGGTTATGATTTAAGATTGCATTAGAGGCTACAGGCCGATGGTCCAAATCAAGAAGCATCAGAAGTCCAACGTAACGGCGCTTGGCATTTTTCTTCGGGTGTGTTTTCCGTGGCTAATCTAATAATATCCGGAAGGTGCGCTGCGATAGTGAGTGTGTAGTCTGCGTGTTTCTGTCGGCGTATCTTTAGCTTTCAACTGCACTCTGACATATGCCTAAACCATGTGGAGAGATGTTGCACACTGCCTTGGGACAAACATGATGGCGGGTGATGGCGAGGAAGTAAAATAAAATATGTCCTTTAATGCATGAATGCAACTTTTCAAAAGCAATTGTTTAATTCTGAACAAAAAAAAATAAAAATAAAACAGTCGATTAGGGGAGTGCAGAAAAACACAACTTTTAATCAATTTTTCCATAGATCTTGCAGGGAAACTGACTTGGACCATAGGCCATGAGGCGTTCATTGCCTCACTAATTTTAGCTGGAAATGTATGGGCGGATGACGAACGGACGGATAGAATTTGGGATATGGGGTTCGGTTTGAAAGTGTATCATGGTTTAAAGGGTGAGCGCGTCGAAGAAAGAGGAGGATTTCCTTGAGTTCCTTATTACCTACTCACACATTCTAGGCTACTCTGACGAAAGGTAGCCTAGAGTGTGGTCAACTCGACGAAAGCCAGCGCGTCGAATGTCAACTCGTCGACGGCCATCTTCTCGAATAGGCCGATCTGTTATAGGGCAACCCATCGAAGGCCAGTACGCCGAAGAGAATATCTAGTTTCAACTTTTTCGCATTGCAGTTAGCTCCTGCAGCGGAATACGGATGTGGGCCTCAAGATGTATAACTATAGTGCGTTTTGCTGACTTTGTTGCGGGAATCAATGAGCGTACGAATATCCAGTTTCTTCGTATTAAGTTCTACGCTTCAGTATTGTTTCTCGGGTGATGTATAGTGTGTAAATCATTTAAAAAACGCTTACTTTAGTCGCTGCACTCATAAAACAAATGTTAGAAGGAAGATCGTGCACTGCAATGTGAGTGACCGAGGCAAATAGGTGAATAGCGTTTCATCATTTTGCATAGTTATATAGTTGTATGTGCGCTGCGGATTAAGAACATGGTTGCATGATGAATTTTTGCTTCAAAGTGTACGACGTACGAGCTTCTGTTAGGTTTCGCGAGTGCCCCAGCAATCCCAAAAATTGCGTAAACCACACTCCAAAACTAATAGTTTTGGAGTGTGATCTGAGAGCGCAAAAACGTGTGATCTGAGTGCCTCAGAACTGCGTCTTCAAAGATCCTGCGCTTTTTCATTGTGCCATTCTTCGGTGGTAGACAATCTATACAAAAGGAACAAATTAAATTTGCGGCTGAAAAATAGAAAGCAAGAAAAAACAAAAATAAAAAGATCTTCACATAAAACTTTCTTCCGGTCACTGTAACTGAATGCTTTCAACATGTTGCCCCTTTCCACGAGCTGGCCTATCAGTCGAGTAGGCCTTGGACAAGTTCACCTTCGACGAATTTGGTTTTGGTGAGTTGGCCAGATCACTTTCCGTAACCCTGTAGTGCCGTGATCTGGCGGCGATAAAGCAGTGAGGGTTTGTACGTCAGAATTTTCATGCCTGCCTATGTTTTCTCGTCGTTTATTCCAGACTTTTCTAATAAACAACGAGGATTGCGTTTACTAAACCTATTATCCTATGTGATGTGTTGCGGCCATTTCGGAAGACTCCAATGCATATGTGGGACAGGCAACATATATTCACAAATGAGTTCAGTGTGTTCGAAGACATTTCGTAGATTTTACATTGTGCAGTTAGCCTATCTGGGATAAACACCATTGACGACCGCAAGAAAAAAAAACGTTTTCATTGTTTGGGACTACTAATTTTTAAACAAAATGTTGGGTGTTTTCTTATACTACATGGCATGGGTTTGTTTTATCTTCACGCTGCCACAGGATATGCGACAACAATTAAAGAGTTAAAGCAACTAAAAATTGTTTTTGAATTTAAATTTCAGAACTGTACTTAACGTAATTGGACGCGAACAGTAGAAAAGAAGCAAGCAGCACAAAATATTGTCTCAGCGATGATACCTCGAAAAGAAAGCCGTATTGTGTTTTCTTTTACAGGCCTCGCTAAAGCTTGCCGTTTTTATGGTGATCGGCTTGGAACCGACCCGATCACCATAAAAACGGCAAACGTTTGCGAGGCGCAAAGTAAGGGGATCACATCGAGTTCCACGGGGTGTGGTGTCCTGCTAGCAGTGCGTTAAAATTTATCGTCGGCACCAAGGATATCGCAATACCGCACTCACACATTGATACCAATGCTTTGGCCTTCTACAATTTAAACTCTTTTTAACGAGAATATTGGCCAGACAGAATCTTCCACAATGCCAAAATAGACTTCCTCTACCCTCACTTTACTTCCCGCTCACAATAATTAGACCGCGGGGTAACAGAAATCACTTATGCATTGTCAAAGCCTAATAATAACATGTACCCCAGATTCCTTCATCTCATCGGCAGAAAAAACTCTCTGACCTATACCAGTTCTGAAGCTGAAATGCCAGTAGATCACATTCTGAGTGTCCTTACAATAAATACAAGCAACATGCTTTACAAAACACATTCAGCAAGATAGATGCTTGGCCACTTAGGGTTTCCAAAGTGCATGCTACCTGGTAATCAGGGGACGTGTATGCAAAGGTATTCAAGGCTCTAATACAGCCTTTTCCTTGCAGGGGACTTTCATCATATATGGTTTTGTGCGTATCTTAAATGAGTTCTTGCACCATGCCACCCTCTCATCCAATATCATAGCACCATTTCATCGTAATCAGTCACAACTATGTTGTTTTTTTTCACAATACAGTGTGGCCGGTTCAGCGAGAGGTCGCAGATAAGCTGCCTGTCTTTACTTATTAACACCAGTTAATCGGTCTCCTGTGGTCGATGTAGTATTATTGTAAAACCAAAAATTTTCACGGTCCCTGTTAGTTGACTGTGTGGCAACGAACAGTTTCGGCTTAGAATCCGTTTAACTTAAGGGCCTTTGCTTTAAAGGGGTACTCCGGCGATTTTTGAGCTACCTCAACTAACTATATTATCTGACTCCCCGGCCTTTACCCTTTCTGGTATGCTATTTAGTATCGCGAAATTCATAATAGTTATTGTGAAATCGGCAAATGAAAATGATGCAAAAACCAACATTCAAATATACCCGCCCTTTTCAGTGCCGTGACGTCAGTGGAAGGCAAGCTTGCCAGTCGGGCGAGCAGTCTAAAAAATAGAATATGCCCATGATTTGTTCCGTGCTGGAGCGCGCGGACTGGAGCGAGCTTCCAGAGCATTCATTTGACACCATGAAACTGCTTCGAATCAGTTGGGAACAAATTCTACCGTTCAAAGAGTGAACCCCTCCACTTCCACTGACGTCACGTTTTCATTGTTGCCAGTAGAGACTTCCAGTTTGGAAAACACGGTGAGGACCAAAATGGTAAATTCAATAACTTCGTGAAAAAAAATAGTTTTGACCTAATATTTGGGATACTATTTTGGCGATGTTGTTTGGCGAGTTTTGCAAAGTTTCAAGGAAATCGGGGACCATGAAGAAATCGGCGGAGTACCCCTTTAAGTGTTCTAGGCTCTCGTGCGACAGGTATAGAATAGAAACATTGCTAAGGTTTTCTTTGGCGCAAATCTGCATAAAATTGATGCTGATTGCACCATGGAGTGCGCTTACCTTTCGATCCCCACAGGGCATTCCATCTACGGCGATTTCGTCAAAACAGGAATAAAAGTTTTCCGGGCAGCATTGAAATCGGCAATTCTGCTTCATATTATCGTCCTGTTTAAAAAATAAAAACAAGGTTATACAAACGCAGCTGCACATCATGTAAGTTTCCGATTACCACATTCCTTGCAGAGTTCCTCACCTTAAAAAAAAATATTACCAACCTGAGTAAGTTATCAGCTTAAATAACTATTATAACATGCTCTGTATTATATGAAACCACGTCACGCTTGACGGAGCTCCTTTATATATTAATAGTCATTGTGAATGTTACATCTGATATTTAACAGGACTGTGAAATAGAATGATCGCATTGATAACTCCCACATATCACGTCAAGAGTTGTTCGACTTTAGGCGAGCGAGCGAATACAATATTATATTGACGTCAAAATACAAGGTCAAGCAGAAAAAATGTATTACAGCGAAGCTGTATGTTACTCGTTGGTCGGGTTTTTTCTTGACCGTCAAAAGAGCAGTAGTCGACAGAAACAACAGCCGACAAAAAACCCACGCGCGCCCTATCACCGTTCGCACTCCATATTTCTTAACATGTAATTTGGACACTTGTTTCACTAAGAAAACCAAAAAAAAAAGGTGTCAAAACCACGTGATAAATGATAGGTACGCTGCGCTAACCGCATGCGTTTCTCAGTACAAACTGCGGTTGCGTAAGTAGCCGCAGCGACGGCATAGTACAAAGTTGGGAGTGACGTCACTTGCCCCGCTAACAATTCGAAGCACGTAGCGCTCCCCGCATGCGTTTCTCGGTAGAAATTGCGGTTGCATAAGCTGCACGGCCACGGCAGCGTACGAATTCTTTGATATGAACAACATTTTGATACAATGAATTTACTTTTTTTTGCGTCAATCATTTGGTATAGACCCGTTTACTGTTTACAAACGTAAAGTGCCGCTTGCGTCCGAAGCGACTTCCGGTCGCGCCGCCTTTAGAAGTCTGTTGATATTGCATGTGTCACCAGTGCTGGGAAGCATAAATGCAACACGGACAACAAAGTTGGAGATCTTACGAGAGTCTTTGGCTGTGCAATATTACAGCTTGGAGGAGGCAAGTTATTTTACAAGACTACTTGAAACATTTGAACAGAGCTTGCAATCCTGCGTTATTTTGGCGTTCACCTGGAGAATTGGCGGTTGAACATTAATTCTACATTCCAAGCAGAGGTGTTCAGGTCCATGTTGCTATGGAAACTTGTCGTTCATTCTTTTTATAAACAGTAAGTTCTCTGCGACGTCAAAGACTGGAGCACCCTCTGGTGGCGTCTGTCATAAAAAGGGTTAATGGTGCAGTGGGCAATCGTTGCAGGTGATACCACAGCTTCGGTGCCCAACCACCTACACAGTGTGGATAGGAGCCTTAAATGTTTTTCATTAGTACAGTTTTTCTTAATTAAAATGCAGCAAAATAGTGACGTGCTTTTAAAACATCTATCTTTTTTTTATTTGTGGATACAGGATAACATTATTGCAGCAAATATATCGATCTCTGAATCGATCCTGATATTATGTAATCTAAAAATGAAAGCCGTTTACAAATCCCTGTAACGCCGAATCGGAGCGCAGCTCTTGAGGAGGAGTAGGGAAGGGTACTGAGGGGGGTCACGTCACCTGCGGGTAGTCACGTGACCTCGGGGGGGGGGGGGGGGTGACGTGACCCCCCCCCCCCGGTTACGCCGACGCCGACGCCGCTCAGGCTGGAAACGGGCTCCTAAAAGCTGCGCTCTAAAATTTGTTTTAACTATAATGTCGACTGAACATAGTGGAGCTGACATAAACATTAAACAAAGACGTTTAGAAATGTGTGTAACGCGAAATTAAAGTGCAGCTCTTGAGGAAGAGGAGGGGAGGGTATGCCCTTCCTCCTCCTTATCCTCTCGTCGTCCTCCTCCTGCCCTCCTCCTCCTTCTTATCCTTCCCTTCGCGAACAGTTTCCCCGCTAAATTTAGGTAAAAATTGACATCACGTGACCTCAACACCAATTCAGTCAGGGAAAATGACGTCACACGACTTGGTGTCACGTCACCTATGAACAAATTCAGTCCGCTAAATTTAGCGAGAAATTTGATGTCACTTGACCTCAAAACCAATTCAATCCCGCTCTAAATTTTGAGGAAAATTGAATTGGTGTTGGTGTCACGTGATGTCAATTTTTCCGCTAAATTTAGCTCGGTTACGCCAACGCCGACGCCGACTCCGACTCCGACGCCGCTAAACGCGGAAACGGGCACCTGAGAGCTGCGCTATGAAAAATTTCATAATGCATCGCGCGCAGCCACGTGTGTCACACTTGGCGTCACACGTGGCTGCGCTCGTTGTATTATTAAATTTATGTACTAGATATTGCTGGAAAAGCTTCTCGCCAAACTTAGCGGAAAGTGTTTCAGCCAATTTAGCCAAAAGCTTTCCCGCCAAATTTAGAGGAAACTTCACCCGCCAAGTTTAGTCAAAAAATTGTCCCGCCAAATTTAGCTGGTCGATAGGGTCATGGCGTCACAGCATTCTTTAAATAATTAAAAGCGCCGAAAAAGACAAGGACAAAAAAGTGGAACGACACAAGGCGCCTTGTGTCGTTCCACTTCTTTGTCCTTGTCTTTTTCGGCGCTTTTAATTATTTAAAGAACCATGAACCAACTGGCTCAACTTTCCACTTTGCGTCACAGCAATGTGTGACGTCATGTGACACGTGACGCTACCCACTAGATCACGCACACACGCTTGCACGGCTTGGCGACGAGCACGTGTTTATATGAGAAGGTTTGGAGAACGGAACCCCGATAACGCTAGCGAGTTACTCTCTTCAAAGGTAAGCTTAAGCGTCCCCTACGTTTTGTTGAAAGTTTAAGTCTAAAAGGTAGGCAGGCATCTTGACACTCACTGTGTATATTTGCCTCAAAACATGTCTTACCCAACGACAAGCTCACCTTTAGCCAGGTATATTTCGGTACATCTAATTTAGCTTTATTTTAGCAAGTTAGTTCAGTCAGTGAAAGCAGAAAACAAGTTTCGCCTGCACAAATTCCCATCCAGGTTAAAGGTATGTATACGACCCGGTCGGATGGCAAACCACATCTTTATTACACTGTATACAAAGGATGTTTTTAGGGAAGGAGTGGCCACAGGTGTACGTTGGTCTCCCGAGCAGTTCTGTCTCAAGGCGCTCGATGATTCATACGGTCGACGCTAAAGCGCACCACACTTTTTTGCGATGTCAAGCGTGCTTTGTCGGAGACGCTAACAGTCCCTTTCGCCTTTAAGGTACAAGGCACCAGCCCGGTTTTTAAGTTGTTAGATAACTGTTTTTGAATTTTCTGTACGTAGTCCCTAAGGAATCATTAACATATCGCCCCTCGCGTCAATCGGGGTGAGACCCTTATTATGAAATCTAGGGGTTCCTACACTCTTAGAAAAAAAGGAGTCCAAAGGGAGTCACTGCTTCCATGACTCTCTTTGACACTTCACGACTCTCTTAGTCAATTTTTCGTGTGACTCTGTTTTGACTCTTCCCCTTCTCAACGGGAGTCACAGGTCAGCAGCATTTGCACTACCGAAAAAAAAATTATGAATGCTGCTTCGCGGCGTCCATCCGGCAACCCAAGCCCCGCCGTTTCCCTATGCACCTCTAGAAAGGGAGTCCGACACCATTTAGTTCAAAGCTTTGTCGACATTTTATTTTCAATAATTGTGCAAAAAAAGAAAATTAAAAAGGAAAGGAAAAAAAAATAATGCACAAAGTTTCGTTGACATTCATTTTTCTCAAGAATAATTGTAAAAAAAAAAAACGTATGTTTATTTTTGCATCGAACCTGGGTTCGCTTTGTAAGAGCACCTTTCCACATAGCTACACCTGCGAGTACTCGTTTTGAGAATTCGTTTTATACGAGATTCAACAAGTTTCGCGTCGCGCACATTATTCGAAACCGAATCCTGCGTCTGCATTTTACATATTTCTAGAACTGTCGTGGGGTACGTCTCTGGGAGCGAGTGAAGGTGCAGCAGCTTATTCAAGACTATACTCCGTTTCATACGTAGCATGCAACGCAGTCAAAGCTAGCGCACCGGTTTGCATCGCCGACCGTGTCCACGTTCACCCCATAAAATAGTGCGTCCCCTGCGAAAACACTTATAAAAAAGTTGAAAAAGGTGCCTCCTTGGATCTAGAAACTTATAGTGGTGTTATGATTTCGACGGAGCACAAATTTTTTTCAATAAAAAGGAAAAGATAACGTAAACTACTTTAAATTGTTTTCGTTTTCGTCCGTGCGGCAGCAGCTGCGGGTTTTCGGGTTGTGTGGCACTGGCTGGTTTTGAGAAGATGGCGTCTTACGCAACAAGCTCAAGTACCTCTCCTGCTCGGATATTTTCAAAGATTCGTTGTGCGCAGACCTTGAAAGAGTGCAAGCAGGTGATCGCCAACGTGTACGCGAGTACAAGAACGCGTTTCCCGGAGAAGTCGGTCGTGAAGTCCTGGAGACGGTCAGTAACAACACCGGAGTGTGCGCCCGTACTGTCGCGAAGTACAAGGCGCAGTGTCTATCTGGCAAGCTGGCGTCCCCGAAGCGAAGACCTCGCCATGTAGAAGTTTCGAGCACGGGGACTGTCAAGCATGCCGAATTCACACACAACGCCATTCGCCTCAAGGTGCATCGCAAGTACCCCAAGAGGGGGATTCCTACCCTTGACAGCTATTTCAAAATAAGCTGTTCAGGCCACAACTATTGTCGATTTACGTCCTATTATAAATTTTGGGGCAAGGCTGCTATCAGTGAGATTCCTCATTCCACGCTGCACGAAAAAAAAATAAATATAACTCGGTGCTGCAGGCAAATAACACTTGCAAAGCGGCAGAGCAGATGGTAGAAATCTGGCCTCTCGGCGACTTACAAATAAATAGCAAGAAGAAAGGAGGAATCGAAATATGTAGTTCGGCAATGCGCACAATCCTGCACAAAAAATGGCTAAAAAAAAAAAAAAAAACTGCGCGTCTAGAGGGTTTGAACCACTGCCGCCGAGACGTCGGTATCGCCAGAGCAGCCC